GTGTCTGCGTGTGTGGGGGGGGGGGGGGGGGGGGAAAGAGGATCTTCAGATGCTAATCTAGTCATTCTAGGCCGACCAACTAAAGTGAACTATGGTAATTTGTCATCTCAATACCAACTGAGACTTTGATACAGCCAGAGATGTAACTACTCCAGTCATCACTGATCAGGACTGAATTAGTCCTAGGTAACTAAAATGAAAGGCTTACTGCCTGATCCCACTGCCTTTTAGTTCACTCCACTTCCACAGATGCTAATCTAGTCATTCTAGGCCGACCAACTAAAGTGAACTATGGTAATTTGTCATCTCAATACCAACTGAGACTTTGATACAGCCAGAGATGTAACTACTCCAGTCATCACTGATCAGGACTGAATTAGTCCTAGGTAACTAAAATGAAAGGCTTACTGCCTGATCCCACTGCCTTTTAGTTCACTCCACTTCCAATGCAGTTAGGTCACTGGGATTCACGCTGCTTAAAGTACTTTTGGTAAAAAACCCTGGAGCAAAGGATGCTTATAACGCCTCATCAAAACCTCCATCAGGGTGTAAGTTGTACAAGGCAGGTAATAGGTTTGCAAGTTTAAAATGCACAACCTCAAAATGTGACTCATCAGTAATTACAGAGCTTGAGGATTTGGATTTTAAGGTGGAAATTTACACCTAAACATTGGTTGCATTTGTGCAACTCAAAAGATGATCAGAGTGATTTCTGTGACTACTACAGAAGTCTAAGTAAATTACTCATAGCTAAAGTCACAATGGACCAAGCATACCTTAAGTCGTTGTATCCACTCACTGTAGGAATCTTCTAGCCAGGGGCGCTCTGTAGAGTTGACAAAATCTGTAGGTTAGCATTTTTCGGACAGTAATCTTTCTAAGCATTGTTACAGCAAGTATACATGCAACCTTTTTAATAACATTATGAAGAGTCAGGTCAGGTATATCTATATCTACTTTAACTTTAAAAGATTTGAGCTCTGGACTGTGCCGTAATATTAAATTTATGCATTCAAAGAATTCTTGGGCTCTTAACTGTGAAAGAAGATTCAGTTCTCCTGAAATAGCACTTTATAAAGAATACAAGACAAGTCATAAGAGATTAGTGTCAGTGTCCCCACAGGCACTACATTACTCCTTGTAAGATAACCATCGTGACCACTTTCTTTTTGCCATTGCTAAGCAGGAGGTATATTTAGCATAGCAAAAGCATGGAAAGGATGGCTGACCTTCAGGGGAGCGTTCATTAGACCTTTTTTGATCACTGAAAAAACAATTTTACGTGTTCTGGACTAAGAGGAAACGGGTCCCTGTCATAGAAAGCAACAATTCAGTGAAGTACTGTAGCATAGTTATCTGGAATAAAGACTAAACACTACCGATTTCATGTGACCTGCCTTGATAGAAGCATCTCCCCCTAGACACCTTCTTGCCCACCTCCATTTTTATTCTGCTATCAACACACCAAGGCAAGATGCTGTAGAACAGGGGTGGCTGACCCATTAAATGAAGAGAGCTGAAACGGTGGCGGAAAAAAATGTGAAGAGCCGCAACAGAATTGTTTGGGGGGGGAGGAAGAGTTCCCCACCAGCCAAAGTTCTTGGGGGTGGAGGGGAAGGACGCTGCCCCTTTAAAAACAATGGATTAGGCTTTTTGGCCACATCAGTCTCCCGCCAGCCAACACCATATTGCTGACACCATTTTGCCATGCTGGACGGCTCCCCTGCACCTGGTAAGCACAGGGAGCCAGAGGCCGTTTGTAGGGGCACATGGGGCAGCTTTGCAAGCCACAGGACGGGTGAGGCTTCGCGAGCTGCTCTTTCAGGGGTGAAGAGCCACATGCGTCTCGCAAGCCCCGGGTTGGCCACCCCTGCTGTAGAATGATCCTTTATACCTTGCAGTTTTTCCTTGGCTTCTTCAAATCCAAATTGTGGCTCAGATTCCAGCACTCTGCATCAGAAGAAAGACAAATAGGAGAGCATTAAACAAGCTCATCCCACATAGAGGCCTTGTGCAAACAATTCTGCAGCTGAACAAATAAATATCAGATGAGGATTTTATAGCATCAGTTTTAGTGGGGATGTGCAAGTGCCCACTGGTTGAACAATGGATGCTTTGTATTTTCAAAAACGAAAGATTTGGAGGTGTTAAACACTACACATTCTTATGCTATAAAGGCAAAAGCTGCCAGCGCCATATAAAAACATGCAGACATTAACAATAAGTTCTAAGAAAAGCATCAATGGTATTACCTACATTCTCATGTAAACATAGTTATGATTTATACATAATCATGAAAAAGTGTGAAACAAGCTTTGGAGATTTTCTGAACAGTGAGCAATAATTTGCCATGTTTAGCTGAAAAATAGCAGCAAAATGAGTATCGAGCATTTTGTCAAACTTTTCAACAAAGCCACTATAATATGTTGTCGACCAGTTTTCTAACTTTGTAGACTTCCCTATCAGCTAGGCATTTAAAGCCAAAAGCCCAACAACAGTTAAGTGATGGTGTGGGTGATGCGATGGGGTTCAGGGATGTGTGATGCCCTGGTTTAATTTCAATCAGTAGTGAAATGGAACTCTATTTGGTGTCTCCACCATCCTTGATACCCTCTCCCTTTCCCATTAGATACTGTAGATATTTCCTGCAAACCACTTCCCACCAACATAAAATTCCCCAAGCCACTTGTGAATGACATTAGCTTGGATATCTTCCCTTAATCCTCTCCTCTGCAGGAAAAGAACATGCACTGTTGGACAGGCGTATGACCAGATCTATATTAGCAACTACAGTTAATCATTTTAGGAACTGAAATTCTGTGAAGTACTAGTCTGAATTTGATTGGCCATTGTAACATTCACAGAACATAAATCTGTTTAGTGTGCTTTCCAAAAATAATTTTCTGGACGGGATATAAACCATCATGTTAAGGCTATCCAGAAAACCAAGGAGCCAAATCATCCTGACAGATGCACAAGGTCAACTACTGGTTTCAAAGGGGAGTTTCATATGTGCATCTCCCTGTAGTTAAACTCTCTCCGGCCGCTAGCTGCGCAAACGGATGCTTTAAACAAGTTTATTTTATAAAAAAATGACAGTTAAACTTTGAAGTCTACATTCCAGCAAGATCTCATTTGACTGATCAGGATTAGAACGGTTAAAAAAAAGGGGGGGGCATAAGAGTTGGTAGGGAAAAGGAGAAAAGAATTAACAAATATCTTAACAAAAAGCACAGGTGTTCACATGCCCACACGCTCCAGTTACATACACTTATGTATAGGGTTTATATAATGATAGCTGAAAATCAGACCCACAGCAACATGCTGTTGAGACCGCTAGTTTTAAAGAGTCAAAGATACTGAGAAAGCTGGTTTTTATTTATTTAGAGCTAACAGAAATTAGGAATGAATTAATGTGGAAGAGTTTAATAAAAGGTTTTCCAAATTACAACAAAGAGATTTAGTTTGAACAAAGTATTTGTAGATTCCCATTATATCCAAACCCGTTCGGCCATCTCTAATTAAAAACCAGTGAGTGAACATGTAATACAGGGACCACACAGAACGGCAGTAGGAAGTACACATTCACCTTACAGGAACACAATGCCAAGGTAAGTGGAACATACCCAAAGCAGTGCTAAAGATATCCTCAACAAGCAAAGTGGGCGAACTTTCAAATGTGAACTCTGTATTATTACTACTACTTCATTCAAACATTCATACTAACATATCTGCCTGTTTTAAGGGTTGATAATGGTGAATTTCCTACACCTCAAGTCTTGCACAAAAGCAACCAGCATTTGAAGGTGAAATACAAGCTATTCAATTAAAATTGGATTGGTGCACTTGAATTTGTTAAAAGAAAGATGGAATATTAAGTTCTTAAAATGGTGTTTTTAAAATATTTAGCACCTACTCTGAGACTGCTTTTGCTCCCCAGTCAAAGACATTCCCCGCAAGAAGTCCTTTCACCAGAGCAAACTGCCTCTCCTCCCAGCCTAATGAATCCAAAGATTCGATTACGCTTGGAAAACATTTTAACGCTATGCCATTTTCTTTCTGCTTTACCTGTAAGAAAGATATGAGACATTGAATTTATAGATGAAAAATTCTTACCCATCATTGGTTGCCTCAGTCCCAAGACCACCTCCAAGCATTCTCCTCTAGGTTCATGGCCTCTAATGGACCAACAAGTTACTGTTATCAGCATGCTTAGTATGAACAAATAAAAATAAAATATCTCCTGGGCTGCTAATAACGGCATGAATGCTAGGAAAAGAGCAGAAACTGCTCGTGTTTCTTTTCAGGACTGTGATG